GGAGTCTGTTCAAGTTAACTTTATTCAGAGGGAGTTTTAATAATGATGGATCCAGTAAGCCCTGATAGCTGAGTTCCAGTGATATCCATCAAGGAACCACTGCAGGTTCTCTCCCTCCCTGTCTTCCTCACATTCATCCAAATGATTTTTTAATATCTTTCTGCACAAATTTTATTTATGACTTGACCACTTGTCACTCTTGTAATGAAGAGTCTGGGAGTCTGTTCAAGTTAACTTTATTCAGAGGGAGGTGAAATGATGCTATGTCATCATTAAAAGGTATCTGCAACCCTGCATAGTAAACACATGCAAAGGGAGAATGTGGTCTAATTTCCAAACTGAGTCTGAGCTTCAGGGCCTCGTGCTCCATTATATCGGCTGATTTAGTTGATGAGGGACAACACTCTAGATGTTAGCCATTTTACTTCCATGAGACTTGAGTTGAAATTAATAGGAATGTCACTTTTAGATTCTAATTTTGCAAAATTTATTTCCTTTCTAGTTCAGTTGTGTTTTCCAGGTAAATTTGTTTGTCTACCATGGAAGCAAAGGAATACCAGAGTCAATAAAGCTATCTGAATTGTGGCTTAAGGCCAACTGCTGCCCACTGAAAGGGTGATAAAAAATAAAATGTAGAAAAGAGGATCCCAGCAGCTATGCCACCCCCAAGAATGTAATGCTAATTATTGACCAACTGTCAAGATTCGGTGTGGCAACTGCCTCCAAGGAGCTGGCACAAAGGATACCATGAGTGTGTGCTGCCCATGTCATAGCAATGTGAGCCAAAAGGAGCAAAATGATGGTTAAGACAGGAGTGTAGCAGAGGGAAAGTGAGAACAAGGGTGGAAGGATCATCTTAGGGCATGGTGGGGGTAGAAACATCCTTCAGTTTGGTTTCTGACTGAGAAGAATGCTGTGTTGCCTAACGAAGGCACTGTTTGATAATCTACTTGGTGGGAAACGCCCTCATTTTATAACTTCACTAGGTTAACATTTTCTGTATTGCGAAAGGGAATTTAGCCACACAGTATTAAAGCTAACCATAGTTTAAATCAAGAGATTCAACAATGTAGCATTAAATTATGTTGTGAATTTTTTTTAACTGAAATAATAGTGTTACTATTATTGAACACAATATATGAAATAAAAGGGTGCTTTTATTTCATTATACTTCATTTGGTTTTGAGCAGACATTCTTTGACATTAGAATAGCTTTTGAGACATTTTCATGGTTTCTAATGAAAACTTAAATGTTCTCTGTTAATCTAGAAGGGAAAACCTTAAAAGTGAGGGTGGCAAATGGAGACCGAATCAGTGTTTCCAATTTAGGAAGTTAGTCAAGACATAAAATACATTTGCTTAGATTTTATCTGAAAGATAGTTGATTTGGCTTTCGTGATCGAACAGCTCAGCAGAATAGGACAGCCCTAGTTGTGTGGTTTCTGGGGAACACAGGAGAATCAAATTTACATATGTGATTTTTATGTCTAGTGACCTTGGGCAGGTGATATCTTTCTATCCAACTTTTAAGATATTACAACCCTGAGGAGTGTTGATAGGCATGTTGTATGATTCAAACTGAATCAGCTATTATTGATGCAGGTAAGGAACCGCCAGTAAAGAAACTTGTGGTTACTATCACCTTCTGTAAAAAAAAAAAAAAAAAAAGAAAAAGAAAAGGATAATGTTCAAGAAATACCTTGGGAAGGATTAACCAGGAATTAACACAGAACTGAATGTTCTTTTTGGACCCTAATGCTCTAAAAGATGTAATTACAACCTATTTTTCTTTATATAATAGCATAAGTAAAATTTTGGGCTGTTAATATGTTGGAAAGTGCTTAAGATTACATGTTTTTATAATAGGGATGCAGGCATTCCAAAATAAATGAATAAAAATACATGCATCTCTCTTGTCTCTTACTGGAAGTATTAATCTAATTTTATAATAATGCTTACTTTTTAATATTCAGGCTCTGTAAAAAAAAAAATATTTATTTCTAAGATTTCAGTAGAGTACAGGTGGTGTATTTTTTTAATCCTTTTCATTTCTCTTTACCAACCCCACTCATGTCCACTACATCATGTATCACAGTTAATAGTGATGTTCCTATTTTTGAGTTGATTTAAGCTTCATATTTATGTGGCTTTTAGTAGAGAATAATAATGGGGGATACTTGTTACTAGCATCAATATCATACAGCTCTCATTTCACCTTACATTTAAATTTCTTTTTTTTTCCCAAAGCAAATAATACAGATCGTTGACATCTTAGAAATGGTTTGTGGGAGGTATTATATAGACCCTAAGTCTCTCAAATGGGACTGGTTTATTTTCTGAGACGTCTGTATTCTTATCCTCACCCTCACCTGCACCCCTGACTCTTTTGTTGTATTTTTTATGATTCTGAAATGCTTTGAGGGAAAGATATTTTAATGTGTACAATTTGTTTTATTTTCATACTGATCTCTATTTTTGTTTAAAACCATGTTGCATCATGAAATCACTTAATCCAAAATAAATCTTCTTTAAAAAAATAGATTATGACTTTTCTGTCAAACTTTTGGGAAGCAAAACAGGAGAGAGGAGAACAAAAGTACAGATAAGATCTCATGGGATTTGTTTATAGCTCTGTGAATACAGGAGGTTCTCTTTTCATGGTATTTATAATAATTATTTTGTTTATTTTTATATCTTCTTATTTTATGTATTTTATTTATTTATTATTCGTTTATTTTATTTGGAATATATTTTGTTTATCCACACAAGAATATTTTATTATTTAACGGGCCATGAATGGTAAAGGGATGAGTTAGCACAAATCACCTCTTAACTCACATGGGTTGAGACTATTTGTGAAACCATCTTGATTGAATGCTTACTTCATATCCACACGACTACTACCACCACTACCATCCACACCAATTTAGTCTGGGGGTTGCATATTCACATGCCTACAGGGACCAGGTAGGTATTTAATGAGTGAATCTGACTGGATATAAACAACAGAGAATGGTGGGGCTAACTTAAAGAGAGCGTTCTAATATTTTGCTCCAGCAGAACCTAGCCACTTGAAATTCAGGTCCAGTGTTGAAAGCTCTTCTGATTTATCAAGAGAAAACCAGAAATCCACATTTTTGTGTGATATTT